AATAGTGCACTTTGTGGGGCATTTTGCGTCTATAAAACCAATTTGAATTTCCTGGTTTGGTCAGTTTAAAAAAATGACTTCAAATTTACAAAAAAGAATCAAAAATTTTGATTTTCTCAGAAAATTTTAGCACATTTTTTTTWAATTTGGAAGTCATATATAGTCTGGATTAATCGTTTTTCAAAAACTCACAATTCATAAAAATTGTTGCGTGGCTTTAATGTCTAGAGTTTTCCTGGGGGCTGCTTTCAGCCGGGCGTACATTCTGGTTTTGAAACCTTCACGCACACCCTCATATTGGTATTCAGGTTTTGAGATTATGTTGTTTATGTTTTCGTCGTGGTGGGTGATGGCAATAATCGACATTTTTTCGATCTAAAATCGAAAAGGAAAAACACTTGAGTGGAATTTATGGAAGCTTTCAGACGTAAACAACGTCACGTTGCCTGGTGACAGAATTTCGTTTTAAAAACTAATTAAAAAAAACAATAATTTCCTTGTGATTTTTACGTTCAAAAAAACCAATTTAAAATTTTTGAAAGTTATTTGGCAAATAACGATTTTTTTTTCAAAAATTTAAATTTTTTCAGAATTTTTATGGAATTTGGAAGTTATTTGTAGAAGAAGCAACTAACCGTTTCTTAAAAATTCACAAAAACGTTTCCTAAGAAGATTTTTCAGTTTTTATTGAATTTTGAACCGCCAATTTAAAATATTGCATATTTTTTGTTGCAGTATCGCATATTTTTTTTTTCGTTGTGTGATTTTGCGTTTATAAAACCAATTTAGAAATTTCAGGACGTCATTTTGAAAAAACCGGTTTTTTTAATTATATTTTTGAAAATTTTGATTTTTTTGCCGAATTTTTGGGAATTTAGTAAAATTTGGTAGTTATATGTAGAGGAAGCGTCTAGTTTAATATGGCAAAAACTATTTAGACAAAACTATTTTTTAAAAAATTTCAAAACGTTTGCTAAGAGGATTTTTTCAGTTTTCACGTTTTCAGTGAATTTTGGCCCGTCAATTCAAAATATTGAACTAAAATCATTGAATTTTTAAAGAAAGAGTAATATTTTTCAAAAATTTCTAAGCCGCATAAACTCGTAAGTTTATCGAAAACTCACTTTTTAGACAATTTTTATCAAAATTAATTTTTTTGAAGTAAAATGATCTCAAAAATTTAATGACACAAGAATTATCTTGCTGCAACTAACCGTTTCGGAAATATGGTAAAAAAATTAGTTTCAACTAAAACTTTTCAAAATTAGACTTTTTTGACGATTTTACGTAAGATAGGATCAGTTTTGGGTCACTCAAAAAAAATGGTTAATTTCCAGTTTGGACAAAATAAGTAGACAGTTTTCACCGATAACTCAAAAAAATCTAAACTGATCCTACAAGAACTATCTTGTTGCTACTAACCGTTTTAGAAATATGGCAAAAAATTCAGTTTCAACTAAAACTTTTCAAAATTAGACTATTTTTTAACGATTATTGGAAAATTGGGATTTCGAAAAATTTTAGGTCTTGAATTTTCCGACGATTTTGCGTAAGACAGGATCAGTTTCGGGTAACTCAGGTGAAATAATTGCAAAAAAATTGTTAATTTCCGCTTGACTTCACCTTTGGGCAAAATAAGTAAACAAAAAGGGGCATTTTTACTAGTCAAAACGTAATTTTGGTGTAATTTTGCGTCTATAAAACCAATTTAGAATTGTCAGGACCGATTATTTTGAAAAAAAAATCTCGGACACGTTTTATAAAATTTGGTGATTATTTGTAGTTCGGTTTAACATGAAAAAAACTATTTAGATAAGGGTTAACAGTTTTTGAAAAATTGACAAAAAACTAAAACTATTTTTTTTAATATTTGGTGAATTTTGACTCTGACACTTTCAAATATTCCGTTTACCACGAAAAAAATTATTAGTTGAAAAAATTTTCGCTGAAATTTTATACAAAACTGTTGAACATTTGGGACTTAATACTTAAACCACGATGCAAGTGAAACTTTTTTTCGGATCAATACACTGATCAAAACACACATACCGCGGAGCACCTGCACGAATGAGCAAGAATATAAATGCTACACAGTGCGCCGCCGGCTGTAATGCAACATGCGATAGATGGAATAAAAGTTTAACTTTAGAAATGAATGTGGAACTGTGTAAAATAATTTAATAGCTTTTGAAAATAAATCTTAAATTTTAAATAACAATTAATTTTTTTGTGAAATAACCAAGTTTGTGTTTCAAACAGTGTCTACTTGTCAAAAAACATATCAAGCACCCTATATTTATTTGACAATTTTGGAAAATTTAAGTCATTTTCGATATGACAAAATTGCTGACAATTGATTTCTTAAAAAAATTTTAAATTGTCATTCTTATAACAAATTAATTTCTGTAATTTTGTACATTATTATAAATTACACAGAAAAGGACACTTTCCTCTAGAGTAATCTGTATAATTTTTTCTACGATCAGCAAGAAAAACTTCAAAACTTATTTCGCTATTAAATCTAGCAGAATGTTTTTCCGTTTCTATTGGAAAGATAATTGTTACCTCCTTGGGAGGTCATTTTTCTTTCTGAAATTCGTTTGGGAAATTTTTCTTTATAAAAATTTATATAAATTTTCAGGACTGGTCATTTTGAAAGAAAAAACGATTTTTTTTTCAAATTTACAAAAAAAAATTTCTAAGACAATTTTAGCACAGTTTTTTTTTTTATAAAATTTGGTATTCATAATATGTAGTCCGGTTTAACATGAGAAAACTATTTAGATAAGGGATTAACCGTTTTCTAAAAATTGATAGAAAAGTTTCCTAAGAGGATTTTTCAATTTTTGATGAATTTTGGCTCGTTAATTGAAAATATTAAACTAAAATCATCGAAAAAAAGATAAAATTTCAGTAAACCAATTCTAGAAACTCGGATTTGTAAAAAAAATTGATGTTCAACTAATCGTTTTGAAAATATGTCAAAACTTTTAATTCAACTTTTGACAATTATTAAAAATTAGAGAATTAGAATTTCAAAAAACTTTTGATTTGGAGTCTTGGGACGATTTTAGGTAAGACAGGATCAGTTCCAGGTAAAACAGTTGAAAACCTATCAAAAAATTCAATTTCAACAAAATTTTTTTAAAATTAGGCTATTTCTTGACGAATATTTGAAAATTAGAGTAGGTATTAAAATTAAAAGAAACTCCAATTTTGGGACGATTTTACATAAAAAGTGATTTTGCGTCCACAAAAACAATTTAGAATTCCAGGACTGGCAATTTTTTTTCAAATTTACAAAATAATTTATAAAATTATGATTTTCCCGGCCAATTTTTGCACAATTTTTATAAAATTTGGTAGTCATATGCAGAGTAAGCGTTCCGTTTACCATGAAAAAAATTATTAGTTGAAAACGTTAATTTATCAATACATATTAATACACTGGTCAAAACACACAAATCCCGCGGAGCACTTGCACGAATGAGCAAGAATATAAATGCTACACGGTGCGCCGCCTACTCCACGGCGATGGAATAAAAGTTTTACTTTAAAAATGAATGTGGAACTGTGTAAAATGAGAGTCGTTTCATTAAAAATTTTTTTATTCAAATAAAAACGCCAAACAGTATATACCTACGCAATACGTAGTTAATAAATAATTGGAATGTTTCAAATATAGTACATACAACTCTTTCTTATCATTTAGAATATTCAATAGTGAGCAATAGTCGCTCGCAGTGCGGGTGAGGGAGTGCACGGAGCCCGAGCCCTCCATGGAGTCCGCGCGCCCCCTGCCCCTGTCAACGAGCTCGCCGTCACTGACACTGGCAAATTCTAAATTCGTTCATTATTTTAATTAAGTGTTATGTTAGCGGCCGCATTCTTCCCTAATCCCGACGAAATCATCATCATCATCGTCGTCAGTTTCCGGTGCGCTCGCTGGTGATGGGTGCAGGATGCGGTGTGTGTCGATTTCATAAGAAGGAAGTTTACTCTGTTAAGTATTGCTCCGTAACTTCAGACTCTTGCTCTGTGCGCTGTGGTGCTACAACTCGTTTAAATACTGGTGGAGTGTGATGTACTTGGGGAAACTCGTCGAAGAAGACGCCCACTTTCCCGCAATCCGACTTGTTGTCTTGTTGAAAATTTCTTGATCCGACGCGCTCGCAAATTATGCTATATATACCATTATTTATAATATATATCATGGGTCTAGTTATTTATATATTATGTACAGTCA